CACGTGCACACGAATGTTCATTGCAGCACTGTTTACAATAGCAAAGACCTGGAACCAACCCAAATGCCCATCGATGATAGACTGGACAGGAAAAATGTGGCACATATACACCATGGAATATTATGCAGCCATCAAAAATGATGAGTTTGTGTCCTTTGTAGGGACATGGATGAACCTGGAAGCCATCATTCTCAGCAAACTGACAGAAGAGCAGAAGATCAAACACCACATGTTCTCACTCATAGGCGGGTGTTGAACAATGAGAACACATGGACACAGGGAGGGGAGCCTAAAATGCAATAAAATAAATAAATGGGGAAAAAAAAACAAAGCACTGGGTTTTACAGGTGTGAACCACTGTGCCAAGCCCTTCCTTTTTTTCTTAGGTAATTAAGAGTACGGGCCGGGCACGGTGGCTCATGCCTGTAATCCCAGCACTTTGGGAGGTTGAGAAGGATGGATGAACCTGGAAGCCATCATTCTCAGCAAACTGACACAGGAGCAGAAAATCAAACACCACATGTTCTCACTCATAGGCGGGTGTTGAACAATTAGAACACATGGACACAGGGAGGGGAGCACTACACACTGGGGTCTGTTGGAGGGGAATCACGGAGGGACAGCGGGGGGTGGGGAGTTGGGGGGATGGCATGGGGAGAAATGCCAGATATAGGTGAGGGGGAGGAAGGCAGCAAATCACACTGCTACGTGTGTACCTATGCAAAAATCTTGCATGTTCTTCACATGTACCCCAAAACCTAAAATGCAATTAAAAAAAGAGATCTGGAGAGCAAAAAGATTGAGAATCACTGCTTTAATGCAAAATGACTCCTTTCTTCTTGATAAAATAAAAGCACATGTATAGTTGAATTTTTCTGTCTTGATTTTTCCTAGAATAGTTACAAATTCTCATATTAATGATAACTTTTAATGAAAATAACTCACTTTTATTTCAGAGAGAAAATGGGGATAGGTAGTAGATAATTGAGCCTTGTCTGTAATATACAGCATTTTAGCAGACTAGTGAAGCTCATCCTGCAAGTTTCCGCAGCCAGAACACCTTGCTTTTACATCTGAAAATGACAAATATACCTATCTTTCTATAGTGCCAGGAACTCTCGACCAGCAAGAGGATTTGAACCTGAGTGCGGGGTGCGCAGGAAGAAAAGGAGATAGAACAGCGGGGTCAGGAGGGCTGAGGAGTAAGTGCTCCACCAGCAACTTTATTCTTCAGAAGTTCAGAATATATACATTTTCCAAATCTTGTTTATGTTATTGTCAGCAGAAAAACAAGAAGATAAATCACACGCTAAGCACAATGTAGATGACAGATATAGAATAGGGAATTGTGAGGGGTAGCGATTAAAGATGCTTACTCATATAGTTTACACAATACTTTGTTCCTCAGGACTGCATGCCCATCTGGTTATCTTTTGTTCCTTCCTCCAACATATGGTTATCTTTTTAACTAGACTCTCCCTTGTGTCTCCAACTTCCTTATCTTGAGTTCCCTCCTCCTGGGGTCCCTGCATTCCGGGCTCAACCACCCATACAGTGAGACTCGCTTTGCAAGGTTTCACACGGGAGGGCTCCCAACACTACAGTATGTAAAAATAAGAAGCAAAATTACATAACTTAAAATTATACTTAGTAATCAACATTTCAGTATTCTGCCTTCCTTATATCTCAGTATCCAATGATTACCTGTGAGTTATCTCACATTTCTATCAATTCAAGGTTTTAAGTTAATTAAATATCTTAGAAATCAACGTCGTCTACTTACTATAAAACTTATTGTTGAAATAAAATTAATCAGAGTGATTCAATTTAGCTAAACATAAATTTACATGTTCATTATCTTAAATCATATAGAAGTAATGCTAACTTATTTGAACAGTAAACCTGTGTAGGTTTAAGAAAAAAACATACCCAAGTAAAATAAAAAGTATGGTTGTATTATCTTTAACATTGATAAGTTGAAGACAACAGAGCTGTTTTTATTGAACCAAAACTAAACTAGTGGTTTTTGCCAAAGCTCTACCTTAATTATAGTTCTGGATTCTGATATATTTCTGAGTTTCTTAATATATTCTTAATATATTTCTGGATTTTTAAATTTTTTTGAGTTTTTGTAAGAGTAATTTATTTAAGTATAGCACATTTAAAGTATTTGAAGTTTACTTCTTTCTTTCCTTCTTTCTCTCTTTCTCTTTCTTTCTTTCTTTTTCTTTCTTCCTTCCCTCCCTCCCTCCCTTTCTTTCCCTC